AACCACTCCAACTTTTAACGTGGGAGCTTCATTGCGAAAAATCACTTCGCAAATAATAGTATAGATTTTTGATTTTGGATAACTCTTATTGTTATTGATTAAAATAAATTATCTAATAAAATAAATTAAATTCGTTTTTATATATAATTAATTAATATAATTTATTCATTAAGGGTATAATCGATATTAACCACTCCAATTTTTAACGTGGGAGCTTCATTGCGAAAAATCACTTCGCAAATAATAGTATAGATAGATAGATAGATAGATAGATACTTAAAAATAGTTAACGAAATATATATTTGTAGTGATAAATTTTCGTTTTCAAATAAAAATATATTTTTTAAAAACGAAAGGTCTTTATATACCTAAACGTGTTTCTTAACCCTATATACATTTATCATATTCCCCTCTCCACAGCCTCTATACTGTATCTTCGGCCGCTCATGACTTCGGCAGAAGTTAAACCAACCAAAAAGAAGAATAAGGTTCCTGAGCCACCGTTGTCGTTTTCATCACTTCCAGACGAGCTTACAGAGAACATTCTTGCCCGTGTCTCGAGATGGAAGTACGCATCGCTCTCTCTCGTCTCAAAGAGATTCCACTCTCTCTTATCATCTAAAGAGATCTACAGGACACGATCTCAAATAGGAGCCACAGAAACATGCGTCTATGTCTGGTTAAAGTTGCCCGATCACCCGTGTGCAAGCTGGTTTAGCCTTCGGACGAAACCTAATTATCAAAACCGAACAAAACAGAGAGGGAAGATAAGGTTCAAGCGGGGCTCGAGTGGACTTTCGGTTGAGCCTATACCTTCCTCTTCTACCGATTCTTTTCCCGAACAAAATAACATCACAACGTTTGGTCCGGAAATTTACATAATAGGTGGACGCTACAAACCGTCTTCCTCTGTTCGGATCTTTGATTGTCGGAGTCACACTTGGCGTGATGCCCCTAACATGACCGTGGCTAGAAAGAATGCACGTACAGTTTTACTCGAAGTACTATGCCAACTGGATTGAGGTATTTGACGTAAAAAATCAGTCTTGGACAGCCTTGCCTGGTCCTGGCGCTGATGAAGACGAGTTACGTAATCACTTACGCAAATCTAGTGAATATGTTATAGTTAATGAGTTCGAAGGGAAACTTTACGTAGCGACAGATGAGAAGGAATTCTCTTACGAGCCGAAAAATGGTAAATGGAAACTTGTAAGAGAGACGTCGAGTTTAATATCAGATTCCATAGATGTTTTGTGTGAGATGGGGAATGTAATATACGGTTGCACTGACTTAGGGTACTTAATGTGGTCTGCCCCAGAGATGGAGGGTAGAAAGTGGAGAGAGATCAAGGGTTTGGAAAAACTCCGTAAGCATCCTACAAGAGGTTTAGAAATTGGGTGTGAGTTTGGACTGGTGGGCTATGGTGGCCAACTTTTAGTTATGTGGGATACATATATATACAAACGATACAACAAAATTTGGTGTGCAAAGATTTCTTTAGAATCAAGACGCAATGGACGTGAGGTGTGGGGAAAAGTTGAGTGTGTTGATCTGCTTACCTTTCCTGTCAAATCATATGAACGGTTTGGTTGTGTTGCTGCGTCAATTTGATGTCTCTTATAGATGGTATGAGTTGTTTCTATTGCTTTGAACATGCTGTTTTGTTCTTCGAGACAATCTTGTAATTTGGTTGTTCCGCACAAGTCGAGTGACATTACCATAATAAGCTTAATTAAATATGCTCTAATTATTATTGGTGGTATTACACATTGGTGTATGGTAATTATTTTTCAGATGAAACTACCATTACACTGAATCGTGATTACGCAGGTGTACGTGACCCTGTTAAAAATATTATAAGAAACTGAACATGTATTTTTATTGATTATATATATACAGAGACATTTGTTACGTCATGTCAAATCTATTACACTGATGGGACCGTGGTTGTGAGAACTGCTCGTGGGTTGAAGTTTACTCAGTCGAAGATTGATTATCGCTCAGATTTTGGAGCTGTCATGGATGTTCTCAAGAGTTACTTAGGAAGTCAGACACTTAGGTCGTAAGAAGCGACATAGACCGTTATGTTTCCTTTCTGAACACCGTTTGCTTCTGTACTCTTACAGTGCTCCTCAGTTCTGTAGTACAAGAACTAAATTTGAATCCTTTTCTCCTACTATTTACATTGAATCCTTTTATTAACTAGGTGGCGTTTTGGAGAATGCAGAAAATGAGAGTAAAAAGATTTTTTTCATATCTTACCTTGTATATTAGACATCTCTATAATATTACAATATTTGAAAAGTGAGTTTTTTACATATCATGTCTACGTTAATTTTCACTATGGTTGATTACAAAAGTACATCTAATAATTTTAAAATAATTTATTTAATTAAATTATTAAATTTATGTTCTTTTAAATTATATTTACTTTAATTTCCTTATTTATATTTTCTAATAAGTTATATAATAAAAATCAAAAATTACAATTTAAAAAATAAAACACAAATAAGTATTTTATTAATTTCCATATTTATATTTTCCAGTAAGTTATATAATAAAAAGGAAAAAACTTTTAATTTAAAAAAAAAATTAAAGAAAGTTTTAACAATATATATATATAATGTGATTTCAAAAAAAAAGTTAACAAAAATAATCTATAGATTAAGAAAAATAATAAAAATAAATATGTATTATTTGATATAATATTTTATTAATTTTATACATATAAATTATGTATTTCAAAAAGTTAAAATAAGAATAAAATGTTAAGTAATTCCAACGATTTATTCATTTTGTAAAATATCTATGCATTAAATTCAAAATATTATCTTTATATTCTTATATTTAATTTTTAATCAGGCCACATTTTAGTTATAAGAAACAAAACATTATTTAGATAAACAAAACATCTTTATATTCTTATACATATTTAGATAAACAAAACAGTATGGTTGAATTCAAAAAAAATAGACTCAATCTAATATACTTAGATAAAAACTAAACCGATTAGATATTACATATACAAAAACACATTTCTAATTCAAAAATATAATATAATTTATATAAATTATAAGAAACTAAAATTGAAATTAAAAAAATTAATCAGTTATTATTATTTTATATATATAATTTATGTCCATGAATGGGCAAACTTGGTTTTAAGTATTCTAAATTTCAATGATTTTAATTTATATAGGTTGTATTATATTTATATCTACTGAGATTTTATAAGATATTTTTTAAATCTCTAAAATATTATTTGAGAAACCTGTTTCTTATGTGTCTCACTCACGTTAACTCTCGCGATAGTTGATTACATAGATACTCTTAATGAATTATTAGATTTTAAAATTATTATTATTTTTTATTTAGTTTTCTTTTTACCTTTTCCCAAATAACATATATAATAAAAAGGAAATATTTTTAATTTTTTTTGAAAAAATTAAAACGAAAATATATGTATATAATATGATTTTATTAAAAAGAAAAGTTCACAAAATAGTAATACCCCTATTAATATATATTTTATAAAAAATAAAATATATTCTCAAAATAATAAATATGTATATGTTCATGAACATCCAAAAACTTATAAGTTACACTTTATTTTCTAATATTTTTAGAAAACAACATATAACTTGATAAGTATTGTGAAATTACATGTATATTTAAGCGATAAATAAACTAATATGATTTGACTTAACTAAAATCTCTATAATATTATTGGAGAAGTCACTTTTTTGCAATTCCTATGATGCAATTGGAGCTTATCGGCAGAAAAGAATCAATTTAGATAGTTTCTTACGTGTCGCGCTCGCGTTAACTCTCACGATAGTTGATTACATAGATACTCTTTAATAAATTATTAGATTTTAACATTATTATTAATTTTTTATTTAGTTTTTTTTTACCTCTTCCAGATAACATATATAATAAAAAGGAAACGTGAATAATAATATTTATCCGATCTAAATACTAGTAAACTAAATTAAAGAGTAAATAAATATTATGAAAATACATGTATACTTAAGTGTTAAATAAAACTAATTTTATTTGACTTAACTAAAATAAAAAGTAATTATACTTCAATAGTAGTTTAAGAATATATTTAACTCAATATACTCACTACATGAATGACTTGACTAATCTAATTTATATCCAAAATTAACATCTAACTACAATAAGAACATATAATTTTATAATATTATTAATGATAATCTATTTAATTTTATACATATAAATTAGAGATTGACTCAAAGCATATTAAAAAGAAAAGTAAAATATTGGCCCATTAAAATATAACTCTTTTGTAGAATTTATATATATGCATGAGACTTAAAGATATTATCATTATATTCATTTATGTAAATTTAAATCAAACACTTCAGTTTAATATTTATTTCATTTTAAGCATAATATATATTAAGTTATACATAATTTAACTATAATACATTTACATATCTAAGAATATATCTACATATCTAAGACAATAACCAACCCAAATGAAAATAAGAAAATTAATCAAAGTTTTATTATATTTAGAATAAAAAATATTATAGCTGAATTCGAAAATAGATATTATCTAATATACCAAATTGATAACCAAATCGACTATTGTTCCAAAAAATTTTAAAACCGACAATAATATATCCAAAGTCATATGTATAATTAGAATAATATTATATTTATTAATATAAATTATTTATATAAATTGATTCAAAACTAAAATTAAATATCAATCAATTATTATAAAATTTTATTTTTATGAACATTTATACTCGTGCATGAACACGGAAAAATCACCTAGTACTTAAAAATAATTATCAATATATATATATATATATATTTGTAGTGATAAATCTTCGTTTTCAAATAAATCTATATTTTTAAAAAATGTATAAATAATAGATTAGCCCACACCATCAATCCAATAACAATACCAAAAGGTCTTTTTTATATGGGTTAACTTATCTAAAGACCTAAACGTGTTTATTAACCCTATATATATATATATACATTTATCATATTCCCTCTCCACAGCCTCTATACTGTATCTTCGGCCGATCATGATCTCCGACAAAGTTGAACCAACCAAAAAGAAGAAGACGGTTCCTGAGCCACCGTCCATGTTTTCATCACTACCGGACGAAATCATAGAGAACATTCTTGCCCGTGTCTCGAGATGGAAGTACGCATCGCTCTCTCTCGTCTCAAAGAGATTCCACTCTCTCTTATCATCTAAAGAGATCTACAAGACTCGATCTCAAATAGGAGCCACAGAAACATGCATCTATGTCTGGTTAAAGTTGCCCGATAACCCGTGTGCAAGCTGGTTTAGTCTTCAGACGAAACCTAATAGTCAAAACGGAACCAAACGGAGAGGGAAGATTGGGTTTAAGCGGGACTCGAGTGGGTTCTCGGTTGTTCCTATGCCTTTCTCTTCTACGGATTCTTTTCCCGAACGACATAACATCACAGCTGTTGGTCCAGAAATCTACATAATCGGTGGACGCTACAAGGAGCCCTCTTCCTCTGTTCGGATCTTTGACCTTCGAAGTCACACTTTGCGTGATGCCCCTAACATGACCGTGGCTAGAAAGTATGCACGTACAGTTTTACTCGATGAGAAAATATATGTGATGGGAGGTTGCGATATTGACGAGTACTATGCCAACTGGATTGAGGTATTTGACATCAAAAGTCAGTCTTGGTCAGCCTTGCCTGGTCCTGGCGCTGATGAAGACGAGTTACGTAATCACTTACGCAAGTATAGGGAAAACTATTATATAGACGTAGTTAATATGTGTGAAGGAAAAATTTACGTAACTGCAGTTAACAAGGACTACACGTACGACCCGAAAAATGGTACATGGAAACTTTTAAGAGGGAAGTCGAGTTATATAGATGGTCCAGTTCTACAGGTTTGGTTGGAGATTGGGAAGGTAATATGTTGTTGCACTCGCTCAGGTTATTTACTGTGGTCTGCCGCTGAGATTGAGGGTAGAGTGTGGAGAAAGATTAAGGGTTTGAAAAAATTGCTAGAGCACCCAGACATAGGTTTAAATAAGGGGTATGCGTTTGCACAGTTGGATTGTGGTGGCAAACTTTTATTTATGTGCTATAACAGTTCTCGTATCGAAGGAAAAAGCAAAATTTGGTATGCCAAGATTTCGTTAGAATCAAGATCATGCAATGGATGTGAGGTGTGGGGGAAAGTTGAGTGTGTTGATATGCTTACCTTTCCTGTCGAATCATACGCATGGTTTGGTTGTGTTGCTGCGTCGGTTTGATATCTTTTCGAGATAGTATGAGTTTTTTTCTTTTGCTAATTTGAACATGCTGTTTTGTTCTTTGAGACAGTCTTCATCTCTTTGTTTTCACCTACAAGTCAAATCATATATGCATTAATTATTACTGGTAGTTTTATATGCATTTTTGTCTTACACATTAGTGTACTTTATAATTACGATTATAGTGAATTTGAGTAATAAGCAGATGTACGGTAAGAACAATATTATAAATAAAAAAACTGAACATGTATTTTGAGTGATTATACGGAGATATTTGTTACTCCCCTGGGCCATGACTCACCTAGGGCCACCTAATCT